GCTCCCGAGGCAGGGGCCAAGCAGCGAGCACCAGCCCTGGCATTATACAGCTTTCCCCCTCCTCCTTGGGTTGCTCATGCCAAGCCAATGCCTCCAACGGGATTTGGGTTGTAGTGATTTTATTATTTCTTTTTCCTCTTGGACTCTGTGTGAAAATATTTGCCTGTGCAGAGAACAGGAATGTTGAAAAGTTTGAGGTATCAGCTCCAAGTTCTAATTGCTGCTTGAATCCCCAAGCAGACCTTCTGCAAGCAGGGATGTCATGGCAATGTTGTGCCTATTTGACTCCTTTCCCAGAAAGCTCAGATCTCTGATAGGAGCACATTGTCTTCTAAAGACAAGTAAATTACAGGGAGCAGGGGGAAATGGATTAATGGCTTGGCTAATCTTTCTAACACATCGATTTGCAATAGCAACCTCCTGAAAGATGAAAAATGCTCTTGGCTGCCTGGGTAAGCTGAGAGAGAAATGATTCTTGTCCCAGGTGCTCACGGGTTCCTGGAGAATCACCAAGGGCTCTCGTGCTGCCAGCACAAACCTGGCCACTACAGCCAGTCCCTTGGTCTCTGACATAAGTCTCTCTCAGGTTTCTGCCACACTAATAAAATTGCTCATTGACAGAACTAGAACAAGACCCAGATCACTCAGCCCATTTTGGATATATTTTATCTCCAATTGCTGGCACTGACACTTCTACAGCCCCATAAAAACCATCTGAACTGCTGCAAAGGGGGAACAGATAGCACACCAGTACTTACCTTCTCCATCTGACTGGTTGTGTCAGACCTGGTGCCACAAGAAAGACAAATGGTATCTAAAACCCACATGGTCTGGCTGCACCCACTGCTCTCTTGGCAGGCTCAGCAGACACACCAGGACCAGGACCAGGACAGGGATGAATGTTTTGGTTGCATATTTGCTGCACATACTGGACTTGCATCCAGCAGCACATGCATGGTGCCAAGCAGGCAGGGCTGCTGGGGGGGGGGGTGGGGGGCTCACACATGCTGTCAGACCAGTGCTGGCAAAGAATTCACTTCCAAACTGCAGTGCCAGCTCTATATGCAACAGCTCTGTCAGATATGACATGATGGGAGCACAAGCACTGTCTATAAAAGCTGTTTGTGATAGGGTGGCTGTGCAAGCAGGCTGAGCTGATGGTATAAGCACCCACCTGCCCAGGTGAACTCCTGTGGGCATATCCCTGGCAAACAACCAGCTGAGCAGGGAAAGGACTGCACAGCACAGCCTTGCCACAGTGATTACTCACAGCATAGTCAGGAGGGAAAATGTAGCTCCCAGTCCTCAAAAACATGCTTGTTTCTGGGCTCCTTGCCCAGCAGGCCAGGCCAGGTGAGGATGTTGCAGCCAGGGACAGGCAGAGGAGGCAGCTGGACCAGGAGGAATGTGGTAAGGTCTGCCAGGCTTCAGTTCCCCACTGTCAATGCAATGTCCTGTTTCTTGGCATGAATGAGAGCTGTTCAAGGCTGTTTGGTATGAGATGCTGTGCCCTCACCATGTGCATTCAGTCCTTGCAAAGTCCCATCTCCAGCTGGGCACAACCTGCTGCCTCAGGGGCAGGCTGCTTTCCCTCCCTCCCTCCTGCTGGGCTGCTGGCCCCATTAAAGAACCACCACTGCATGGGGTGTTCACCTTGTAAGTCCATTCTCCTCTTGCATATTCAGAGCAGTGATACATTTAAGTCCTCATCTTGCAGAGTGCTGAGCATCCTTGATTCTCCCTGGTTTTCCATAGGTGTCCTTCACAGGAGACAGTAGCTTTCCAGACTGCTTTGCCATATTCCCATGGATTTGCAGAGCCTCCCTCTCTGACCCCATGATTGAGAGAAGGTTACTTGGCTGTCCCAGTGAAATAGCTATTATACAAAAACAACCTGTGTGGAATCAGCAACGGCTTTGCCTTCACAGGTGTGTGCCCAGCTGTGTCGGAGACCATGCTACTGTCCCTGGGTGCCACCTCGCTGCCCCCGTGGGTCCCCCCTGGTCCTGGATGGCTGTGGCTGCTGCAAGATCTGTGCCCGGCGCCTGGGAGAGCCCTGTGACTTCCTCCACGTCTGTGACCAGAGCCAGGGCCTCGTCTGTGACTACAGCACAGCACCTGCAGGGACAGGAGCCACCTGCAACTGTGAGCACAGGGGTGCCCATTCCCCCCAGGGATGCCCCTGGGCCCCCAGCCCAGCACACACCTGGCTGCAGCCATGGCCCTGGCCAGCTCCAGGCATCCCACATGGCTATCAGGGAAGCAGTTAAGGCTAGGCAAGCAGCTTTCCTGAGGATGGTGCATGCAGCTTGGCCATGGGGCTGTGCTGCAGCTCCTGCCAGCTCTTGTGCTGTTTTCCAACCAAAAAATCAGGGTGGTTTGAGTGGGGATGGACATGGGGGTTCCACAGATCCTGCAGTCACCCAGCCAGGGCTGGAGCCTGGGGATCCTACAGGGAAATCACAAAGAAAATTTTTCTAGCCTGGAAACCGTGAAGGCAGGGTCAGAGCCAAGGGGCAGTGGGTTACTCAGCAGCTGGTGAGCTGTTGCTTTGAAGAAACAGAGATGAGAAGAGGAGGGAGGGAAGGGGAGGAGGTTGGGGCGATGGACACACTGCTGCAAACCCATGTCTGCCTCACATACCTCTCACCACTTCTGTGGCACTCCCACTTCAGTCCCTTTGTGCCAGCCCCATGGTTAACCCAGCAGTCCCCTCTGCCATCCATGTCACTCTGTCCCTAACTGGCTCCCTGGCTGTCGCTTGCAGTTGAAGATGATGAGGAGGGCTGCGAGGTGAATGGCCGAGTCTATCGAGATGGGGAGATTTTCCAGCCCAGCTGCAAACTCCAGTGTCGCTGCCTGGACGGAGGTTTCACCTGCATCCCGCTCTGCCAGGAGGATGTCCGACTGCCTACCCCAGACTGCCCCTACCCGCGGCGTGTGGAGATCCCAGGGAAGTGTTGTCCTGAGTGGATCTGTGAAGCCCAGGACCAGAACCTCCTCCAGGATGCCAGAGCAGGTGAGATGGAGGGTACCCTCCAGGAGGGGATGCCCACACAGCTCTCTGGGGAGGGCCCCTTCACCCCAGGCTGTGAAACATCAGTGAGGAGACACCTCACTGCACATTTTTCTGACACAGAGGACTATGCCCACAGCACCGCAGGGCATCTGCACAGCACCTGGCTCCAACCATCCTTTTTCCCCTCATCTCTCTTCTCTTAGCCCCTGGGGCAGTGTCCCCGCTGCTGCCATACCCCTGCCAGGAGTGGAGCACAGAGTGGAGTGCCTGCTCAGCCACCTGTGGCATAGGCTTTGCCACCCGTGTCTCCAACCAGAATCGCTACTGCCGACTGGAGACCCAGAGACGGCTCTGCATGGCCAGACCCTGC